CATTAATGACATTGGCATCACTGAAATAATGCAGAAAACTCACAAAAGGTTTATGGCTACTTAAACCCCAATTTACCTGATTACTTTTGCCCTCATGGTTCCCCTTGTGGTGCTCTAATATATAGCATTACATATTGCTATATCTGATTCCTGGCTTTCCAAATATTTGCTTTTCTTGACTATTCTACATTCTATAATCCATGCTTTTGGCTTTGTGTACCTTTCCTTGATCTTGTATTTTGACTTTTGAATTTCTCCTTGCTATTTTATAATATGTCCAGCCATCTCTAAGGACCAATAATATCCACGTCCATCCTCCTTTCCTTTATAAGTGTGATATAATACCGTGTGTTGGGTCATGTCCTATCCTGCCAATATGAAATGCAAAGAAAAGATGAGGGCAATATTGAGGACAGAGAGAATTAATTAAAAGGTGATAATAATACAAACGAATTAAAAATATACTTTACACTATTCATGTAAGTAACATATAAAACACAAATAGAATACAAATATACTTTATAATACAAAGAAATTATTAATTCGAATAACATATAAAATAAAATAGAAGAGACTAAAATGTCTAGATAAATTTTTTTTATTATTATTTAAAAAAAAATTTATATCATAAAATAGATCCTATCTCAAAATCAATGTTTAACCCCTTAGATCATAGGGATTGTAAGTCAAAGATCCAACTGGACTCTTTTTTTACTTAAATTAAACGCAGTGTTACCCCCTCTCCAATGGGTTTTAACCTGTTGGATTGCTACAAATTGTAGCAAAATAAGTACGCACGTGACGTCAACCGGAAATGACGAAACGGACAAAACGGCAGATACGCACGGCCATGTTAGTAGGGGCTGGACTCATACATAGAGGTAATTGAAGGACAGCAGACATGTTGGAAGAGGCGGAAGTACCCGAGAACGGCCGGAAACACTCCATATATGGATAAGGAGGAAGTTAATTGATTCACACTTGTATCTCTGTTTTAATTGATTGTAAAGTGTTTTGTGCTATAAATAAGAAAGTTGTTGTATTCCCAAACACATATGCACCTGAGGAAGACATTTTGTATAAGGTTGAAACGTGTTGTGCTGTTTATTGTTTTTTAGCTTTTAATGTATAAATAAAATAATTTACTATATATCCATCCTGGTTCCCTATCCTCTGATCTACTAAAACAGAGGATTGTCTACACATTCTGTGGGACCCAATACCTGCAAACTTACATCTGACTGATGTACCCTACCTTCATAGTTTAGAGCAAACTCATAAATGCTATAAATATTGTGAGTTTTCTGAATTATTTAATTCTCAGTATTTTGTGTTTGAATTTACTACGCTATGCTGGCTTTTTATATTTACAGATCTTAGAGATTATTAATATAATCCAAGAATTTCATCTACACAAGTGCGCAATCTCCTTTTCTTCATTTTGTATTTCTGTATGTAAGTGTAAAAGAGTGACTATACACTTAGGTAATATTGCTTCATGTTACACTATCTTTAATAAGATATTCTTATTTTATAGCGCCACCCTTTTTCTTCCTTGTTTAGAATGATTACTATAACATTTCAATAAAGCTCAGTAGACATAGCTTTGTTTTCAAGCCTCTTTTTTTCTTCATTCACCACTCTTTCTAATTTTCCCGATATTTAAATCTTCAAATGTGCCTCTAATGAAGGTGCACACTAAATTGCACTGAAACGCGTGTCAGGCATGCTTTTATTATATCATTGTGTACTTTATTTGCAACACTAGGCACTTTGTTTATCATTTCATTTTCTCTGTCTAGTCAGTTTTAACTGGAGAGAGGGACCTTTGCACATTTCTACTTTATGCTGTGCATTTCTATTGATGCTCGTGGAGGCTGAGCCTATATACTCTACATGTTGTTGTTTTTTTTTTTTTTTATATATGAAGTAGCCATTTTGTACATTTACAGTTTTCTGTTCCAAACTACCTAAGAGTATCCATCTGAGACATCATTTTGTTTCTTTTATCACTATCTATCTTGGAACCTAAATGTTGGTTACTTTAACTGCTACTGGTATATAATATATATATAAAATATACATATATATAGGATATTTGCCTGTTATCTCCCTTTTGTGACTCACTTATATATGGCAAGCAGTATATAATATTATTAATATTAATATAGGAGGGGTTAGTTGAACACTTTAAAAAAGCCCTTTTTCTACTCCTCTTATCATTTGATTGATATCTGGGAGTTTAAGTGACCTCTAGACAGATCAGTAATGCTTTTTAAAGCTTAAACTATAATCTTTCACTGGCCATGTATTTCACTAGTACTAGTTTATCATTATAAGGTCTTTTTCTGCTCTACTTTCAATACCGGGCAGCATTTCCCATCTGTTTTCTTTTGGGAACTGCAAATTATTTCTATAGTTGATTTAAATGTTAAGCTCTGAAGTAATACACCTGGTAGGTCCAACTGGTGTACTCTTTTTTTTTTTTTTTCTTATCTTCAAATGCTGCTTTGCCTTCTAAAAAGCTCAATTATAGGGCTGTAACATTGGCACTTTTGTCATTACTATCATAATATCTCAGTAAAGTTAGCTTATTAGTTTGCTTAAAATGACTAAGTGCACTTTTGGAATTCTTAATTTGAGGGCATGCTGAGCCCTGGTGGTCCAGTGATCCTGTGACAGCCTTTGGTTTGCACCTCTGCCAGGTGCAGACCATGTGCAGTGCTAGAGAGCTCCACCATTAGTAACATTAATGTATTGCAGTGGTAAACCACAGCAATGCTCTGAATGTGGAGCTCACAAGAGCACTGCACAAGATATGAACCCAGTGAAGGTGCAAGTCAGAGGATCTCTGAGCTACCCCACCAGTGGGTGCACTGGATCAGTGAGGAAGATCTTTCATTAAGAGACACAGAACCCATTTTAATGAACTGGCTAGTGTTCACTTTATGTCCCCCCACTGGGGCACTCTTGGGTGGCTGTGTGTGCTGCATAAAGTTATCACCAATAGTGCTTGAAGTGTTCCTTTAAGTCTAAATCACCACAAATCAATTTAAATGCATGCATTTCAAATATGCACCTTTCTATTTGAGTTTTCATTCTCAAATGGAATTTATGGATATGTGTCATTGTGTTCTGTCTTCCATTAGAAAACAATATGTAAATTCAGCAGAATGTGTACAAAATGTATTGCTATCAGATATTTTAGAGATTAATAACCTTGAAAGCTTTGCCAACACTGTAGGAAATTGATGTATGTCAATTTGATTGTATGATTGCACTACTGAGGCACAGCATGCATTAAAAATGTAGAAGCAACCAAAGTCACTGTTAACCTCTCCCAATTATATGATATTCACTGTGGGCCAAATGCTCAAAAGAGCACACAACAATTTACAGAGATAGAGGGATTTTGATATGACCTGACTGATTCAAATATTACCTGTCAAAAGTGGTTACCTAGAATCTTCTATATTTTTCAGACCCTTTCCATCCCCATTCATAAGGCAGACTTTCTGATTTGCCAAGCTCCTATTAGATAGATTCATCCAGAGTTGTAGGAGACTATGGGTTTGGAGAAAAAGTCTTTACGTCCCAATTAGATGTGGAGGTTTAGGCCTTATATGTCATGCTACTTTCAGGTAGTGCAATTATATTTAAAATTATAATGTACCTTGGTCCAAAAACATAAGGTTAATCTGCAGCACTTGACTTACGGTGGGACCTTTCTTGCCTCCCCGACTGCTCCAACCTTTCTCCATTCTATTTCCTCCACTCAAAAGCTTTAAAACAGTATTACAATAATTTGAAAATATGCAAATACTTGCCTAGGTACCTTGGCTCAACAGATCTTTTAAAGCAGTTCTTTCACAAAAAAAATCTACTTTCTCTGTTTGAATCTCTTTTTATCTTTTTTCCTGAGTGCTCTAATTTACATAAATATAGTAGGGACTACATTTCCTTGCATATAGAGTGAAGTTGACAAAACGTGACCAATGACAAAGCTTAAGCTAGGTTCTGTTGCAATTAACCAGTCAATCAAGTCAGTATTACAGAAGGATTCCATAGATCTAGTGCTATCAAGAAAATAAATATAAATAAATGAAGTTGCAAGAGATAATGTATAGCCATTAACATACAGGTGACAAAAGGTATATAAAACCAAAAGAAAAAATATTCTTCCCTATTACTGTTGATTTTATAAAATGGGAAAGATGAGAGAATGGGCCATACAATATAGGCTCCTGTTTAATTTGTTTCTATTATTTTAATGAGACCAAACACGCTAATGGTTTTAAGAGTTTAAGATGAAAGTTCCAAGAACATCGGCAAAAAAATTTCACATTGCGCTAATCCATGTTGATTGAAATTACTATCACAAGTTTTCCATTAAATTATAATCAATGTACATTTTGGCTTTGAATGACTGGAGCTCAGTCAATATTTGTCAGTAAACTCAAATAAAAGTCTAAGTTCTCAAAAGAAATTATGTGGAGGTTCCTAGTAAACACTAGTCACTGACTTAAAATTACTGTTAAGAAATCCATGAACGCCATTTAATTCAAAGTACTGTTAGATTTTCCAGTGTCACTCATCATGCTGACATACACACAGATAGAAACAGCTTTTAGTTTGTTGTTATTCTTAGGGGAAAAAAGTGTCCGTTATTATCAGGGAGTTGAGGAAGCAGGATGTATAAAAACAATATATTGTCCAATACTTATTAAAATCATATGTTATTTCTAGCTTTATCCAATATTACACAGCATGACTTTATATGTACATGTTCTATAGGAAATATATATTTTATTTGAATTTGCTGTAATTTGCAGATTTTTTTTTTTAAAGTATAAAAAATTCTGCCATATAAAACTTCAAGCTCACGTTTTCCTACAACTGTTCCTAAAATGCCCAAGTATTTTTAGTTAGTTGATATAAGTCTCATAGGTTGCTATCAACATATTGAACAGTATTTTTTTATAGTGCAATATAAAACATAAAAAAGTGGGTGATCCCAAGCTGAAGTAGCAACAGGAGCACATGGGAGAAAGTTATACAATGAACTATGTTACAAAATGATAAATGGAATAACTTTATTGAGGGAATCTACTAATATCTGGGATCATACTCTTTAGTAGATTCCCTCAATAAAGTTATTCCATTTATCATTTTGTAACATAGTTCATTGTATAACTTTCTCCCATGTGCTCCTGTTGCTACTTCAGCTTGGGATCACCCACTTTTTTATTATACTGTATATATACAAGGGTTACCCCCTAGAAAGTTCGACTCACACACTCCAGTTGGGTTTTTCGGCACCTTGATGCCTTCCCTTCTTTCTACTTTTCAATATAAAACATAGCCATTTGATCACTTCCGTGTCCCTAGCACAGGAAACCTGTGCTAGAGCATTGCTGGATGTCCTCACGCTGTGTGAAGACCTCCAGCATCGCTCATTTTCCCATAGGAAAGCACTGAAAAGCATTTTCAATGCTTTTCTATGGGGAGCACTAATGCCCATGCACGGCATTGCTGCACATGCTCATTAGGTCTCCCCGGCAGGTGGGAGGGATCAGTCTCGCCCACCGGCCGATTCGATCACCGGGAGGAGCTGCGACGTGGGACATCGTTGCTGCCTCTGGTAAGTGACTGAATGGGTTTTCACTCCTTCAGCAACCAGGGATTGGGGGCTAGGAGGGAGAGGGGACCTGCAGTGCCAGGAAAATAGATTGTTTTCCTGGCACTGGAGTTTCCCTGTAAGTAACTGCTAATTTGTTAATTATAATGATAATGAAAGAAAATCCCACTGAGTCTGTTTCTTTTCATTTGATCATATATGACAACCCGATGAAATTAGTTAAATAGCTACAGTGAGGGAAAAAAAGTATTTGATCCCCTGCTGATTTTGAATGTTTGCCCACTGACAAAGAAATGATCAGTCTATAATTTTAATCGTAGATGTATTTTACCAGTGAGAGACAGAATAAAAAAAATCTAGAAAAACGGATGCCAAAAAAGTTATAAATCGATTTGCATGTCAATGAGTGAAATAAGTATTTGATCTCCTAATAATCAGCAAGATTTCTGGCTCCCAGGTGTCTTTTTTTACAGGTAACACGCTGAGATTAGGAGCACTCTCTTAAAGGGAGTGCTCCTAATATCAGCTCGTTACCTGTAATAAAAGACACCTGTCCACAATAGCAATCAATCAATAAGATTCCAAACTCTCCACCATGGCCAAGACCAAAGAGCTTTCCAAGGATGTCAGGGACAAGGTTGTAGACCTACACAAGGCTGGAATGGGCTACAAGACCATCGCAAAGCAGCTTGGTGCGATTATTCACAAATGGAAGAAACACAAATTAACTGTCAGTCTCCCTCGGTCTGGTGCTCCATGCAAGATCTCACCTTGGAGTTTCAATGATAATAAGAACAGTGAGAAGTCAGCCTAGAACTACACAGGAAGATCTTGTTAACCCCTTAAGACCGGAGGGCGTACTATTACGTCCTCTAATAGGCGGCTCTAAACGCCGCCGGGCGTAATAGTACGCCCTCCGGTCTTTCAGTACTTACCCGGTCGCCGGCGGTCTCACGCTGGCGATCGCGGTGGGGGGGACTCCCAGGGAGCCCCCCGCGGCACGAGCGGCCTCCAGGAAGCCCCCCGGCCGTGTGAGAGTGGGGTCCTAGCTAGGACCCCACAATCACATGGCCGGGGATAGCTGGCTTCTGTATTGCCAGCAGGGGGGCTGCCTGTAATGACAGGTGGTCCCCCTGCTGGCTGAAAATAAAAATGAAATAAATAAATAGTGTAAAAAAATAAATAATATATACTTAGATCATATATATATATTATATATATATGATCAAAGTATATATATACACATATACATACACACATGTACACCGTCTAGGTGTATTTTACTATTAATATATATATAATTATATATATATATTAATATCAAATTACACGTACACTGATACTGATTAAATATATATATAATTATTGTTATATATATATTTATATATATTATAAAAAAAATTAAAATGTAAATACGTTAAAAAATAAAATTACAAAAATAATTAAAAATAAATAATTAAAAAATATATAGATGTGTGTTATTTCGTTCTAACTGTATTGTGAAATTAATATATATATATATATATCAAAATACACATAGAACGAAATAATATATATATTTATACACATAAATATATACTTATATATCACTATATATATACCTATATATAAATAAAAATATTTAAAAAAAATTATATAGATATATACATATATATACACATACGTATATATATACATATATTGATTCTACATATATATTTATGTAATATTTTTACATAATTAGGTATCTTAATTAATTACAATTAGCAGGACCTGCATGACAACCCATGCCGAAAGTAAAGGGAATTTAATTTGCTAGCACTATATTTAACCCTATAACTTTCCGAGACACCATAAAACCTGTACATGGGGGGTACTGTTCTACTCGGGAGACTTCGGTGAACACAAATATTAGTGTTTCAAAACAGTAAAATGTATTACAACGATGATATCGCCAGTAAAAGTGACGTTTTTTGCATTTTTCACGCACAAACAGCATTAAACGGACAATATTATTGCTATGATACTTTTTACTGTTTTGAAACACAAATATTTGTGTTCAGTGAAGTCTCCCGAGTACAACAGTACCCCTCATGTACAGGTTTTATGGTGTTTTCAAAAGTTACAGCGCCAAATATAAGGCTTGCATTTCATTTTTTTCACATTAAAATTCGCCAGATTGGTTACGGTGCCTTTGAGACCCTATGGTAGCCCAAGAATGAAAATTACCCCTATGATGGCATACCATTTGCAATAGTAGACAACCCAAGGTATTGCAAACAGGGTATGTCCAGTCTTTTTTAGTAGCCACTTAGTCACAAACACTGGCCAAAATTGGCATTTTTTGCATTTTTCACACAAACAAATACTAACGCTAACTTTGGCCAGTGTTTGTGACCAAATGGCTACTAAAAAAGACTGGACATACCCCATTTGCAATACCTTGGGTTGTCTACTATTGCAAATGGTATGCCATTATGGGTGTAAATTTCATTCCCGGGCTACTATACAGTCTGAAAGGCAACGTAACCAATCTGGCGAATTTCAATTTCAAATGTAACGTGCTATATTTGACCCTGTAACTTCCCAAAACGCCATAAAACCTGTACATAGGGGGTACTGTTTTACACGTGAGACTTTGCTGAATACAAATATGTGTATTTTATTGCAGTAAAAGCAAACAGTATTATGACACTGACCGTTTAATTGTCATGTAGAACTAAAAAAATCCAATAAAATCGTATTTTCTCCCATTTTTTTCATATTAAATTATGTTTCATAGCTAAATATTTGATATTAAATGAAAGCCCTGTTTCCCCTGAATAAAATGATATATAATAAGGGTGGGTGCATTTACTATGAAAGAGGTGTATTACGGTTGGACAGACATGTAGCGCAAATGCCAGGTTTTGTTTACATTTTGTTTTGTTCACAACGTGTACATTTGGCTCCGTCCTTAAGGGGTTAATGATCTCAAGGCAGCTGGGACCATAGTCACCAAGAAAACAATTGGTTACACACTACGTCATGAAGGACTGAAATCCTGCAGCGAATTCCTAATGCACCCGCAAGGTCCCCCGGCTCATGTACAGGCTCTTCCGAAGTTTGAGAATAAACTGGGTGAAAGTGTAGTGCTCAGATGAGACCAAAATCAAGCTCTTTGGCATCAACTCAACTCGCCATGTTTGGAGGAGGAGGAATGCTGCCTATGTCCCCAAGAACACCATCTCCATTGTCAAACACGGAGGTGGAAACATTATGCTTTGGGGGTGTTTTTCTGCTAAGGGGACAGGACAACTGCACAGCATCAAAGGGACAATAGACGGGGCCATGTACCGTCAAATCTTGGAGGAGAACCTCCTTCCCTCAGCCAGGGCATCGGAAATGTGTTGTGGATGGGTATTCCAGCATGACAATGACCCAAAACATACAGCAAAGGCAACAAAGGAGTGGCTCAAGAAGAAGCATATTAAGGTCCTGGAGTGGCCTAGTCAGTCTCCAGACCTTAATCCCATAGAAAATCTGTGGAGGGAGTTGAAGGTTCGAGCTGCCAAATGTCAGCCTTGAAACCTTAATGAATTGGAGTGGATCTGCAAAGAGCTGTCTGGGCAAACCTGGTGGCCAACAAAAAGAAACGTCTGATCCCTGTGATTGCCAAAAAGGATTTTGCCACCAAGTACTAAGTCAAAGGGGTCAAATACTTATTTCACTCATTGACATGCAAATCAATTTGTTATTCTGTCTCTCACTGTTAAAATACACCTACCATTAAAATTATAGATTGATCGTTTCTTTGTCAGTGGGCAAACATTCAAAATCAGCAGGGGATCAAATACTTTTTTTCCTGACTGTAATTCCTCATTTGAACAATTTTTTTTTGTTAAGTAAATTTTTATGATTACAAACACACACACACACACACATCCATATATATATATATATATATATATATATATAGTGTTCAAGTAGAGATTGTAGCCGTATTAGAAAGGGAGGTTCTCCCGAAAGCTTGTCATTAAAAAATTCTGTTAGTCCAATAAAAAAGGTATTACAAGATAAGAATTTTATCTGTTTTTTACATCTATATATATATATATATATATATATATATATATATATAAAAATTGTACATACAACAAATATTAGGGTCACATATTAGGGTCACAATAGATTGAATTAAGTTTCCATATCTTGTGTACTCATTCACTTCTTTTCTATCCCTCTCTAATTCATTTTCTAACTTACCCCCTTACTTCAATTATAATTCGACTTAATATATATGAGAAGAAATTATCTTCAGTAGAGGAAACCAGAAGTTAAGAACGAGCATTATGAGCCCTTTCAATAATCATTCATATCCCACTCTGCTATACATCCATATCTTACTACTTAATCGTCTATCTGTCTGGAACTTTCTGATATAGAGGATTTTGATCTTTCCTCCTTCTTATTCCATTAATTCTAAGGAATCATCAGCTAAGCCAAATTTGTTATATTTATTCAAGGCACTCTCCCATCCAGGAATCTCTTCAATATACCCCCACCATGGAGTCCATATTTCATTATATAGAGATAATCTACCATTCAAATTATACAATTGTTTTTCCATTCTACCTTGAAGTGAGAT